CTACGCCAATACCGGCCGCGCCTCGCTGCGCAATGTGGCCAAGGCGGCGTCGGGCCAGAGCCGGGCCGCGATCTTCAAACGTATCCGATCGGGTGGCTGCAAGACGCGGGCATCTCTCGGCAATCAGCTCTCCTATGTGAACGACAAAGCGGTGTTTACCTATTCCTCGATGACCAATGCGCTGACCTCGGATGCGGTGCTGGATGAGGCGCAAAAATCAGAGATCATCGAGGACTGGGCAGAGACCTGGCGCGGAACAACCAAGCTTGGATTTACCTCGCATATGCTGCTGTCGTTTCCGACGGATGTGACAGTCGATCAGGTCCGCGACATCACTTTGGAATGGGCCGAGCATTTCTTTGACAGCGGTGAGTATGGCGACCAATGGGATTACGTTCTGGCGGTCCATGACGACCGCGCCCACAAGCATGCCCATATCCTTTTGAACAACCGCGGTGTTGATCAAGGCACTTGGTTTTCCTGCTGGGCCGAAGGCGTGATGTCACCGCAGCTGATGCGCGAGAAACAGGCCGAGATTGCTGAGAAGCATGGCATCATGCTGGACGCCACCACGCGTCTTGAGCGTGGCATCTACGCCAAACCTGCGGGCATGGAAGAGATTTATGCGGCCAAAGCCCAAGCGCGCCGACCGCAGGAAATTGCCCTCACCGAGCAAGAACGCGCGATGGCCGAAGCGCAGGTGACGGCGTTCGCCAAAGACTACAAATCCGTCGCCGACTTTTTGGACCGCATGGATCAACGGGCCATCGGCAGCGCTGTGCGCTCCATGGCCGAGGCGATGGGACGCGGCGCGCCTTGGCATGGCCCCGGCAAAAATGAACAGACAGGAGAGATCGACATGAAGGACATCACAACCGTGGGTCAGGCCACGGAGTATGCGGAACGCGCGATCGAGGCCATTGGGCTGAAAATCGAAGAGTTGGATGCCAGCGCGCGCGCGGCGTTTGAGGTTAAAACCGCCCCGGTCCTCAAAGAGTTGTCACGGATGGTGCCGGACCCCGAACTGCAAAGCCGGTTTAACAAGGTGCTGCTGGAACCCTACCCGCCGGGGGCGGGGGACGCCGCTTTTGTGGCCGAGCTGACTTTGGGCAATGACGACGCGCTGGAGAAGCTGGTCTNCTGCGACAGAACCGCAACGCATCGCGGCGCTTGAGGTGGTAGATACCTTTATGGATGGCATGGCGGATCGGATGCGGGAGCTGTCTGGTGATCTGTCAGCCGGGCACGGTCTGCTGCGCGATGATCCAGCAGAGACCAGCGAGTTGTCAGTGGTCGATAATCACGACATCGGGGACAAGTCTGAAGCCCTTCAAGGTCTGGCCGACATTTTGAAACATGGGCGTCTCAGTGAAGTACAGGAAGCTGTGATCAACGGCGAGTTAAAGGTCGAGCTGACGGCGGCGCTTGGAGAACGCGGCATCGCGGCGTTGCGCAACGGAAACTATGCAGTGCTGGACGACGCATTGCCGAGCAAGTTCGACCAAATCACCGTCGCGCAGGAATACCTTGAGATGATGCGCGAGGAGACGGGTGATCTGCGGTTCACCGAGCGTGCTGCCGAGC